AAAGCTGCCTGGAGGACTTGATGTGTTCAGCTGATTGGTCACCTTCCGAGAATTTTACTTTAAGCCTATTTGTCATGTTTTCTTTTCTGTAGTTGTGCAGTTTTGAACTTGCACAATATGAGCCTCTGTGTCTTCAAATAAAATTATATGATTTTTATATTTCATGATGAACAGTGATAATTTTACGAAAGGTATGGAGGTGAGTATTGTCCCTCACAGTCCTATAGACACAGCAGACAAAATGTCCTCCAGAGTCCGCATTCCCTGGACTGTACCCCCACACAATATATATTCCTAAAAAGCTTGCCGCTGAATGCCCTTGCTGTCCAAATAGTGGCATGATCGAGGCATCTGCTCTTGAGTTATAACATGCTAACAATTTACAGAGTCAAGGCTATTCTCTGATCCAGCGAGAAGTTCCAGGCATGCAACAGCTTGGTCTCGGACTCCAAAAGGGGGTTTCTGAACCTTTGGGGAGTGGAGCACTCCAGGTATCCACTGATGCCTCCCTGACCTCTCAACCTCCCATCAAAATAGCACTCAATTAGGAGGTCTGAGAACTGAGGGATACTTAAAGATTGACTCAAATCATGTTGACTACTCAGTCCCAAAACCGAGGAAGAGTTCCAAAGTGTTTCAGGACATCTCCCAATCAGGCACTTGATGTGTAAATGAGTCCAAGTGATTCCCAGATGTCCTTAACTCCAGCTGGAAACCATAGTAAATATCCATATGTTTTGGATATTGGTATATTTGATATTGTCTTATATTGTTTTAATTGCAATTGTGGATTGTTTTTAATAATTGTTACAATAAATAAGCGATATTGACTCTAAAGTATTTATGAAGACTATCTATACTGAAGGATTTTACTCTCTGTGTCTGCTATAGTGTTGAGACAACTTTCTCAGGTTCAATTCCATTGCTGTGCATTGCTATGAAACCCTTGCACAGAAACTAAGAAGGGAGTGCAGCCATACTTACCAACTGAGCCAAGTGTTTTCACTGTTTCCACTGGCTCGAATACATGTAAGTTTCTATTTTCTGGTAGAGTGTAGTGGTTATGTATGTGAATTATCTGCACTATTATTTTTTCTTTCCTCTCTTTATAGTCCCAAATTTGTTCATACCACTACTCCAGCTTTTTGTGTTTTGGTATATAAATTTGGTGTGTTGCGTGAAACAGGTTCCACATAGATGTTTTGAGCAGTGTTTTTCTAAATCCCCATGGCTAAATGGTTTTGAATATTGATGTTTTACTTTTTGGATAAAATGTTTCAAAGTGGATTTTCTAATCAGTGTCACATTTTAACTGCAAAGTACTTAGTCAAACAAATGCATTTGCAAAAATTGAGAGATTGACTAAAAATCTGTTCTGTTATTATTTTAAAAAAGCTTTGTGACATTCTGGATGCTTTAAAGGGATAGGTTTGATCTTAACCTAGGCTACTAATTTGCATCTGGTAGTCTACGAAATCTTCACCAACAACCTGGAAAATAGTTTCCCGCATCGATTTAACATCAAGTAAATAATGGAAATGTGTTAAATTAATAATTTTCACATATGCACCATTTTATAATTTTTTTTCTGTTAAGGTAATGCTATTGTTTCACTGTTTCCATTTCAAACTAACTATACATTCTCTATTTCATATTTATTTTTCAATTAAACATTTCATTATCTCAAATTTCTATGATATATCAGTTTTATGGAATTATTTCAAACCCTTTTATTGTTAGTAAAAAAAAAAAAACAACAAAAAAAACCCCACAAAGTTATTTGTATACGGAACACTGAACTTGCTTCAGTATGAACTTTAAAGATGTGTTGACATTTTGCACAAGGTCAATGCAGAAAGGTTGAATCCAGATTTCTTTCACTACATAAACAAAGAAAATATGTGTACAACAGACTACACATGTCTGCAAGCTCATGCTATGGTTTACCTACTATTGGAAGAGCAAATACAAAATATGGACACATGAATAAAAAAGGTAAATAAAAATGTTATGCACAAATAGCACTTAACTTTCATTTCTTTTATTGCTCTTGGCTCTTGTCTTTAGAAATAACAATGACTTAGTCTACTTCTGTAGGATCACAATTTCAGTGGCAGGTGTGGATAATCCAGATAGAAAGGTCCTTTTTACAAATATTTTAACATTAATTTACAGAAAGCTACTGTACAAAAATGTAAGGTATACATGTTAAAAGTCATTATTGTTACCTTGATTGGAGAGAAATCCAGCATGATACCCTGCTAGCAAAAAAAAAAAACAACCCATAGGCATACAGAGAAATTGTACACTACCCTGTATTTTCCTTTGAAGCCACAGACTCACTCCCAAGATGGTACCAGCACCACTTTACAATACTCCAATGTCATGGTTGATAATGAGGCATTGGAGGTGGTAACAGGATGCTCATTGGATGTTGGCTCAAGAAACAATGCAACACCAAAGATTTAAAAGTGAAGGTCCAGACCCTAAGACAGCATATCACAGAGCTGGAGAGAAAATAGGTTGAATAGGTTGTGGACTACTCCAATTTTTACTCCAAGGTTGTGGACTACTCCAATTTTGTTTACAGTAGGCTGATGGAATCTGAAGCTGCTTTGAAGACCTATTGAATTGGTCTATATGCAACAAATTATGGAACTGTTGTTCTCAGTCATAGTATAGGGCACTTTTACCTCCATCATACCAGATTTTTTTAAGCCAGCAATCTGTATTGGAAACAATGAATTATAAGTACACGATTCTGTGAAGACAGAAGATCCTCAATCCCATACAGGCCTTTATAAGTCCAATAGTCGAAGGAAATAGAGGAAATATAAAAACTTATTACAATTGGTGAAATAGCAGAAGTAAAATGATTATGGGAAAAATAACTTTGAGAAATAGGTTACCACAATGAAATGCTGTGGAGTTTAAGTGTGATATTTATGCTGTTACCAAAGTAGTTGTTGAAAAGTGAAAAGGGCAAAGAAATTCATTTTTCAATTGCTAGCCAAGGGTAATTAGATGTATTAGCTTGGGCTCAGAGAGTGCATCAAAAGTTAGGTGCAAAGGAAATGACAATGTCAATGCAATAACTCTAGTTGCCTATTGTTCCATATAAACTTAGAAATACCTCTACGTACAACAAGCAATATAGGTTATAGAGGGTTGTATAGGCTGTACTGGGTAATAGGGGCTGCAGTGAATATAGGGGTTAATAGTGACTGTAGTGTGTTTAGGGGGTAGGGACTGTGGTGGCATCAGTGGAAATAAGGGCTGTAGTGGCTAAAGAGGATATTAGAGGTTATAGTGTGTGCATTGTGGATAAGGGCAACAGGGGGAAAGTCAGTGAGGGGGTAATATGTCCTGTAGTGTATATAGGCTGCAGTCAGTGAGGGGGTAATAGGTACTGTAGTGTATATAGGTGCTAATAGGGGGTAGTGTGTGTAGGGGCATGGACTGTTGTGAGTGAAGTGGCAATAGGGGCTGTAGTGGGTGCAGGGAGAATAGGGGCTAGAGGTGGTAATATAGGCTGTAATGGGTGCAGGGATAATGGGGCCATAAGGAACAATATGGGTTGACATGGGTGCAGGGGAGATAGCGTCTATAGTGAATTTTCAGTACAACCAAAAAGTAATGGGAGTCAAGTAAAGAGGATGTTAAAAACCTTCCTTGTATTATCAATAACCAACCAAGGGCAAACCTTGCTTGGTCTTGATGAAGTAAATTGGACATTTTTAACAATGAGCTAAAATGGATGCATCGATTTCTACATCTATGTTAAGCAATGTAATAGGGTTGTAATTTAAAAACAAAAATAAGGAGATTTCCCTGGTTTTTGTATGGTTTTGATTTGAGCAAGCAATATATCTGGAGGCATCATGTAAAGCATGAATTAAATACATTTAAGAGGAAGGACAATAGTACATCAAAATATTTTTGCATTAAATACCTGTAGCTCATAAGCCATCTTGCCCATTAGATTTATTTAGCTTTAAATCCTTTTTGGAGGAGGTGATAGGGCCTGCAATAGAGACAGCCTCATTAGTGATTAGTGAAGAGAGGCTAGCTAAGGTTAGCTAAAATATTATTAATGGCTCCAAAATTGGGTTGGGAAACAGACGAGTCAGCCTTCAGATTACATGATTTTGCTATTACATGACAAAAATTCATGATTTTATTAAAGACACAGAGGTGCATAGTTGTGGGCGAACAGTCATTTCTCTTAGACAAATGCCTAAATACGTAAATTCCTCCGCATTTATTTTTAGGTGGTATAGGCTGCGGATGAGTGCCCTGTCCGGGGTTGTTAGATAAAAGGGTACGGTGACAGATTTAGTGAAGCTGACTTTGTAGCCCGCTAGATGACTTGAACGGGCCAGTAATGACGTTAAATGATGCAGGGAATTTAACAGGTTCTGGAGGGTTAGGATGACATCATCGGCGTAAGCCGATACTGTAAATTATTTTCCCATCACTTCTACCCCCTGGATATTTGGGTGCTTTCTGACAGTTTGTAAGAGTGGTTCTAATGTCAGTGCGAACAATAGGGGGGATAAGGGGCACCCCTGTCTGGTTCAGTTGCCTAATGAGAATGGGGTCCTCGTTGCTCCCGTTTTGAGTGTCTGCGCTCGTATGTCCGTGTATAGAGCCTACATTGCTGTCACAAAGGATTCTGAGAACCCCTGGAATTGGAGTAGGTTGAATAGGTGCGGCCACAGCACCCTGTCAAATTACTTCTCTGTATCTAATGAAAGCGCCAGAGAAGGCACCTTAGACTCCACCATGTACCACATTAGGTCCAGTCTCCATCGAGTATTTTCATAAAGTTGTCACCCTGGTATAAAGCCAACATTGTCTGGGTGGATCAGTCGCAAGAAGAAGAGGTGTGAGTCTGGATGCTAAGATTTTTGCGAATAATTTAAGCTCGACGTTAATGAGCAATATAGGTCTGTAACTTGGGCCCAGTGTATCGTCTTTTTCTGGTTATGGTAGTAGTATTATGTTTGCCAGGGCCATGTCCGTATCAGGCTTTCCTCTCTGCATGAAGTGATTTTATAAAGCTGTGACGTGGGGGATAATTTGTCTCTAAATAATTTGTAATAACTAATGTCATAGCCGTCAGGTCCAGGGGCTCTATTTCCCTTGAGAGATGCTATGGCTATCTCCATTTCATCTTGTGAATTGATTGGATCCCTCAGTGTTGCTGCCTCTTCACCTATCTCCCTTGGCATGGTCTGTTCTGATAGGAACTTATTTAGGCCCGTGGTGTATGTTGTGTTGTCTTTGGTTAGGTGGGGCAAGTGATTATATAGGCCTGAGAAGTATTTTGTGAATACTTCATTGATAGCACCTGGTGTTGTCCCTACATTATTGGTTTCGATACATATTTTGGTTATAGGTTTGAGACTCATTCTTGGTCGCAATACTCTGGCTAGGAGGGTGTCCATTTTGTTTGCATTCTCATAGTATCGAATGGATATGCCTTCTAGTGATATTTATTTTATTGAGTGTCTGAGGGCGTTAAGTTCACTTAGTTTAGTGTTAGTTGGATTGGTTTTATGTTGTTGCTCAGCTTTCTGTAGGGCTGATTGAAACTCCAGTAATAATTTTGTTTTAGTTTGCTTTTTATGTATGGCTATTTTTATGAAGTGTCCACGGAGGACAGAATGTGAGCTGCCCATACCATAGTGGGGTTCGTGTCTGGGTTTGTGTTGAGCTCAAAATACTCTTTGAGTTATATTGTAGTTTGCTAAGGGTCACGGTTATGTCCACCTGATCTGATCTGGTAGGTATAGCGATTCCTCCTCCGAATCCACGAGGAACCACAGAAACTCCATGTGCCTGGATGGGGTCAGGCTGGACTTCTCCCAGTTGATGATAAAACCCAATCAGGAGAGTAGAGCCAAGGTCCACTAAAGATGTGTGATTCAGGAAACCAAACCAGATTAACCAAATGGGTGCGAAAATGGGACAATCTGTGTACATTCATTTCTATACATAATATAAGTTGGGACAGTTCCTCTGTCTCTAGGTTAGAAATTCGTAATTTTGTTTGTTTGTTTACCAACAAAAACCCTTTCATTCCCTTTCAACAAAATTGCACTTCGGATACAGTCGAAATGTCGAAATAGTCGAAGTGACCGCCATTCGTATAGTCGAACACGTGGCGGCAGCCATTTTACTTAATCGAACGAGGTCAACGGTGTTTTGTCGTCGAGTTCATGGAACTCAAATTGGACACGCGATGGCACGAACACCGCTGAAATTTACCTTCTCCGGGACTTCGACTCTTCGACGGGAGTCGAATGGCGTTCGTCAATTTGAACGGCACTTTTAACATTGACTATGTGCATAAATGGTTCCCGTTCAACTATTCAAACTAAACTTAAGACATTGAAAATTGACCGGCCACACAGCCTAATTCTCTGGAACCGGGCATAAAGCCATGCTTGCGGTCAGTCAACTATGACTTCCAAGCAGTAGGGTAAGAAGTTATTACCCTACATTGAAAGATTATATCCTTGAATATTCTGTTTTTGCAAGTATGCATCTAGTAGCTGTTTGAACATCTGTATGAACTCTGATAAAACCACTTCTTCAGGCAGAGAATTCCACATCCTTATTGTTCTTACAGTAAAAAAACCTTTCCTTTGCCTTAGACGAAATCTTCTTTCTTCCAGTCTAAACGCATGGCCTCGTGTCCTATGTAAAGTCCGGTTTGTGAATAGATTTCCACACAATGGTTTGTATTGGCCCCGAATATATTTGTATAATGTTATCATATCCCCTCTCAGGCGACGTTTTTCTAAACTAAATAGGTTTAAATTTGTTAACCTTTCTTCATAGCCGATATGTTCCATTCCTTTTATTAATTTTGTAGCCCGCCTCTGCACTTTTTCTAGTGCCATAATATCCTTCTTTAGAACAGGTGCCCAAAATTGCACAGCATATTCAATATGGGGTCTTACCAGTGATTTATAAAGAGGCAAAATTATATTCTTGTCCCGAGAATGAATGCCCTTTTTCATGCATGACAGTACCTTACTGGCCTTGGCCACTGCTGATTGACATTGCACATTGTTGCATAGTTTGTTGTCTATAACAATTCCCAAGTCCTTTTCGTGTGTTGTTATCCCTAATTCGCTTCCATTAAGGGTATATGTTGCTTGTGTATTCTTTACGCCGAAGTGCATAACTTTGCATTTTTCAACATTAAATTTAATCTGCCATTTGAGTGCCCAGTCCCCCAGTGTGTGTAAATCACTCTGCAGCAAAGTAATATCTTGCTCACATTGTATTATTTCGCAGAGTTTTGTGTCATCTGCAAACACTGAAACATGACTTTCAATGCTGTCTTCAAGATCATTTATAAACATGTTAAATAGAAGGGGTCCCAGAACAGACCCCTGAGGGACAACACTTGCCACCTCTCTCCAACTTGAAAATTTACCATTAATGACAACTCTTTGTACTCTGTTTTTAAGCCAATGTTCTACCCAAGAACAAGCATTTTCATTTTCATCATTAAACCTTCAGACTTCTTCACCCTCAATACTGAGTTCTGTCTCTTATTGGGGGAAACTGCTATATCACAATCACTAGCTTTTGTAAGAGCTGTTTCTGCTTTGCCTACAGATGACTCTGGGATTACTACAGCACCTCTCACTCTTGGGAAAAGGATGTCTCTGGCGGTGAAACCCCTTCTACCCATAGGGGTACCACTACGTAAGTATTATGCATATATTCTGCAGTAAACTTATAGGAGCATTTTCTAGCAATTTAGTTCACAGATGAAGTGAGTAAAATTAACTAATAGAGGGAAAAAGAGGAGAAGCAGTAATAAATATATATATTTAAATATTATGTATTTATGAAATAATTAATATAAATACATATAGATTTATTTATTTTTATTTTTTATTTTTATGTTTCTCTTTGTTTTCCTCTAATGGTCACTTTTCATGTAATTTGCCAGTAACATTAACATTAAGTTTTTTAAAATTTACCATAAATCATTTTTTTTTCTCATCGAACATCTCTCTCTTTTTTTTTTTTGTCCCATGGGCAGAATTACGAATTATGAATCAAAACGAACATGCTCATCCATTGAGCAATTTGTTTAATTCGTGAATCGGCTACATTTCGGGTCAGAGTTCAGGACGAATAGCTGTTTGTAACTAAATAACTCTAATAATTATATAGGGGATAAAAAGAAAGCTATATATGTTAGAGTACCTGTGATATGTTGTGAATCTTGGACTTAGCACAAGGACCTCTTACATGTGTAGGGGGACAATCCTTAAAGCCCTCCCTCTCTCCTCTGTGTTTCTGACTCTGGCCACTGTAGTTTTACCCGTGATGACATCATGGCCTGCCGATAGGTTCAAATTTGAAGATTTTGAGGCTGTGGCTACAAAATTAGAGAGCTGCAGTCTTAAAAGGGCTCATAGGGTTTGGATCATTGGCTGTTGTGGTTCACAGTTTCTTTGTTCCCTATTACCCATTATTTTGTTAGTATACATGTATTTTTTACTTTGGCTGTGTTTTACTATTCTCCTGTCTCCATTCCTCCAACTCAGTTTGTGCATACTAGCTTATTCTGACTTCTGGCTTCCTTGACCTTGGCTTGTCCCTGACTTTTCTCTGTCCTAATGTTAGCTCAGCCACTCTAAGGTCCAGTATAGTTTTATTACTTTATTTGTTTACACACTGTGTGTTGGATCTCTGTGACACTCCTGACAATATATTTCTATGGGTGCATGAAAACTGAAAAGATTGATATTATTTTCTTTTTACAAATTGTCTCTTATGCTTAAAAATGTGCAGCAATGAGATATTCAATCCTAATGGGTTAAAAACACCAGCCATTAAAGTACTACATCATCTTAGTGATCTCAATGAAAATGTACAAACAATCTAAAAAATTAATTCTTGAACCAGCTTACTGTTTCCAAATATTTTAAGTTGTTTATCTAAATATATATAAGAACATATTCCAAAATATATTATGTTAGCCTAATAGCTACTACAAACCAATTACACTCCAACCATGCTGAAGTATACAGAGTTCAATTGTCTAGGCAACTAAATTCAAAGAATGATGCAAAAGCAAATTAAGCAATTACTGAATTTCGTATCCATGGCAACTGACATTTAAAGTAAATTGGCTAAATTTTTCTTGATGATTTGTAATTTGCCATTGTTGACAAAACTACATATATTATTAAATGTCAGAAATGCTGTATATGCCAGTGATTCAAAATACAATATCAAATCTAAAATAAAACACTTATTCACTTAATCATGTGATAAAAATATAGATCACATGATCCAATATATTGATGTCACATTAAACTCATTGCCGTTCAATAATTTGCTACACAAGTAGCTATAACTAGTGACCTTAGCATCATTGTGATCTTCTGCACTACAAATATAAACATGCAGTACTCACAATGCTATACAAAGTATTTATTGAGCTAGTTTTAATAAATTTACTATAGTAAGTAGAGCGAATTTTTTTACTTTAAACACATTTTATCTAAAAAAAAAGACCTGCAGGGCTATTCCAAAACAAAAACACATTTTGGATAAAGGTTATTTTTTTAGTTTGGTTTCCACACACATTCAATACTCAGGGTTTCACCAACTTGAAATATACTTAATGTGCAGACAACATACTACATAACTGATGTTAATAGGCTGTCAAGTAAAACCTCTTTTAGCCGAAACATAACATCCAGTGAGCAAGAAAAAACAAAGTTGAGGAATTTCCATGATAGGTTAAAATAATATAATCAATGCGTCATTTTTATTGTTCACCCTTCATTTTGATGTTTACTGCTCATAATTGCTTAGAAAGATTACCCGTATAAAATTAAATATTACTCACATAAAATTTGTATAATCTTTTGCCTAAATCTGCTCTTAACAGATGTTTCTATAATTAAATATTAATTTAACTAAATTAAAAAGCATTTGTGTTAGGAATTATGTTCTTATTTCAGGTACTCTGTTATAAAGGGTATATATGTTTTCATTTGTCAAAAATGTAATAAATGTATTTATGTACTGTATCGGCAGAGAAAACACACTTACCCTCAATGAGGGAAGGCTACCTAATATGTTAGGTGAAATGTCAATATATTAGGAGAAAAAAAACGCAGATTTCTTTCACTTCACTTGCCTTTAAG